AAACTTTGGTTTTATTTTTCAGCTTGTTGATGTTTATACAAACTCAAAGACTCATCTCCTGAGTCACTGCACAAAGGAACAAAATGTAATCAACACAATAAATCAGTGCAAATAGGTTTAGTAAAGCTCAAATAGTCTTCAGTTTACACATCTGTTAGGCTACATTTACACTAGTTAGTGTTCGTTTTAAAACGCATAGCTCAGACAGAATCATGATTTCTATTTATTTTCCACTGATTTACTGATGAGCATTAGCAGCTTCCAGCGCTGTCTGCCTGTGTTCTCTCTTCCATGATCGCTGCTCCGAGTCAGAGTCAGAGGTAATAACATATTTAATTTCAGCAACATTAAATGGCCAAAACACACATTAGACGGCAATCGGAAGTTATTACAATCACTCGATGGTCGTTTAAAGTGAGTTTTGAGTAAAAGTGGAACATAAATCTTATTTATCGTCTTATGGGACCGTTTTCATTTTAAAACATAAACGCACCAGTGTAAATGTAGTCTTATCTAAGGGGGCTGGGACGCATTCACATTATAGCCTCACGTGTGCGTCACATCTAATTAAAGAAAAATCCTGAAAAATGTGAAAAATTTAATAAAATATACAACAAATAATAAAATAATTGTGATTTTCGCTTGATTAATTATTTAAATTGAAAGAAAGAAAGAAAGAAAAGGGAATTAAAGGAAAAATTTAAATTCTGTCAATGTTTGCAGTATCTTTAAAAATCAATTTTCTTCATGAAAATGTAAAAAAAAAAAATTATAATAATAATAATTGTGATTTTTACTTGATTAAATATTTAAATAAAATTAATGCATTAATAAATTAATGAAATGTGATTTTTGCTTGATTAATTATTTAAAATGAATGAACAAATGAAAGAATAAATGATGTTTCAAAATTATTTGAACATGTTTTGAATTATTTACAAAGTATAAATAGATCCAGCAACCAAAACACATTTAAAGTTATTCAAAAATGCATACAGTGGGTTGGATTTCCAACAGTGCATCTAAAGTCGTCTTTGGTCAACAGATGCCTACAACATGTAAAAGTACAAAAGCCGTTTCTCAATACCAAGTACACAAAGTTCTTCGCAAGTTCGACTCGGGGAGTGTGAACTCCTGAAGACGGGAGGACACAAGTCTGGTAATTCTGCAAATGAAACTGCGGCGTACTTGATAACGTCAGTCAGCTCGCCTCGGCTACTCTGGTTATCTTCACTGTATGTATTTACAATACGATGAAATATGATATCAAACACCACTGCCTAGGCGGCGCGCCCGAGAACGGCGCGCCCGGCGGATCCGACGAATGAGCGGCAACCACATGTGACGACCCCGGGCTTAACTCCGCTTCGTCCACGGTGAAAGTTGATGTATAGAGATATATAAGTATAAAGTATAAGAGACTTATGTAATAGAAAATAAAGACAAAAGCAAACAATTCAGTCAAATGTATGCAACAAAGTCAGCGCTGTATTATGATTAATAAATAAATATTATAAAATGGATCGTTCCGGTCCTTGATTCTGATTGGTTGAGCCGCGTTCTAAGCTGTTGTAAATTACTCTACAAACATACACCTTTGTTTACTTTGTGTGTTGCTCGGCAACCACTTTATTGCAACCACAACTGTTTCTGAGGAACTACATTGTTTGGCGGAAGAATACTGTTTTTATTAATATCATTACACTTTATTTGCTCTGTTTTATTCTGTGAAACCTTACTACATATATGGAATAACCGTTTTATAAAAGCAATAATTCCCGTGAAGCCGTGGTTTACAGTGAATTTATAAAAGCTAAGGGGGTTGTTATAAATTCACTGTAAACCACGGCTTCATGGGGTTTATTGCTTTAATTTATGAAACATAACTTTGTGCTCAGCCAAAACGATAATACCTGGAAGAAATAATATTCATGAGACCAGCGGCAAATGTCAGAAGGCCTAGCCGAGTTGAGGCTGCTCTTGTGGGGAAACATGAGCACTGAGCGCCCGCTGATCGCGTGGAGCTCACGTCTCCGAATCGGAGAAACAAATTTTCAAATAGGCGCTGTCTTTATAAATAAACCACAGATTTGAGTTTTAAACAACTACATTCTCGCCTGAAATACTCTTAGAACTGCATTTCATGACACAATAACAGTAATATTTTGAAAATTATGCGGGTTTTCTCCTCCGCCATTAATGCTCGCTCGTTGGTGCGAAATGCATTCTGGGATACCTGGCTGCCTCAAGTTCGCACAAATCACCTCTGATAAAAGGGGCGGAGCAAGAACACATCCGGGGATTTGAACTGAACTTGGCTAGATCATGTGAACTTTGAATTGGAACAGTACTTGGGCGGCGACTGACGACGCTTCAAGAACACAAGTACAGACAAGAACGCAAACTGAGAAACAGCCAAAGTCTTGCAACTTCTGCTTACAAGCAATCATTTGAAATCAATATAGCTGCATTGTCTTTAATGCATCCTAATCATTTGGAAAAGTCCACAAACAAGACTTCCAGGATTGACTAACACTAAAATGCCTCAACACAAATCATACACACTACATACATCCAAACCAACTGAGCTTGAGATCAGAGGACATGAGAAGACAGCAGGTGTAGAGGAAACACTCCGCACAGACAAGCATCAGAAACTCAAATCTGACAACACACAGAGAAGAGCCCGACAGCAGCAGATCACACGAGTGTGTGTCGGAGATCACGCTGTTTGCTTAGAGAGCAGCGTGGGTAATATCTAATCCAGCATGACCCCATCTGATTCACCAGAGCACAAACACACCGAGAAACCTTCGCTGAGGACTGTGGGAATGTTTGGTCTGATCTCGCTCCTGCTGAAATGGCTGGGATTGATCGGCTCTCAAACAGACGCCCGACAGGTTTCGACAATCAAAAACACTGTCACGTTCAAACGGGCATCGGACTGTATTGTTTCCCAGGGTTCAGCCGTTTCCCATGGCTTCACCGGCTCAACAGAGTGAATGAATCAATCAGTTAACCAATCAGAATGAGCTGCTGAAGCAACAGCCTGATCTGATTGGCTAAATATAGAATATGAAACCCGAGGGGTGAATGGAGCAAAACAAAAACAAAAAAGAAAGCAAATGGAGTAGGCTAACTAATAAAGTGTTACCTATGGAGTTACACTGTTCGAACGTGTTTGTTTGTTTTAATAAATTAATACTTTTATTCAGCAAGGATGCATTAAATTGATCAAAAATGACAGTAAAGACATTTCTATTTATCAGATCTTGAACAAATATGTATAACGGTTTCCACAAAAAAATATTAAGCAGCACAACTGTTTTCAACATTGATAATAATAAATGTTTCTTGAGCAGCAAATCAGCATATTAGAATGATTTCTGAAGGATCATGTGACACTGAAGAAAATTCACAGCAATTGCTTTGCATCACAGCAATAATTTACAGTTTAAAATATATTCAAATAGAAAACAGTTATTTTAAATTGTAATAATATTTCACAATATTACTGTTATTACTGTATTTTTGATCAAATAAATGCAGCCTTGGTGAGCACAAGAGACAAAAAAAAATCATACCAACCCCAAACTTTTGAACGGTGCTGTACACTTATTTACATTCTCCTTAAGTCGATATTTATATATATATTTTTCCTAGTTATGTTCAGCTCTGAATTAGGGCTGTCAAAATGGCTGAAAAAATAAATTCGAATTTTGTGCTTAAATATTATCAAAATTCAAATTATATTCGAATTTAAAAGGCATAATTTCAGTTAGGGTAAAAAAAAAAAGCTTTTGGCTTCTCTCCTGAGGTCACATGAGGGCGCACCGAGCATAAGATAACATGACTATCCGTGAAAAAAAGTGCATAATGTTTAAAATAATGTTTATTAACCAATTATAATTAATTAAGTTGCTTAAACAACTATAAACAAAACAGCATCATGTATTCATAGTTTAATACAAAGGGCCGAAAACCAATCACACAGAGTACATTTTTCATTTAAAAACACGAGTTGCAGTCAGATGGGGAAAAAACTTGCCATAAAGTCTCGAGATATGTTTTTTTCAAAGTGATGGGGAAAAAACCCGCCATAAAGTCTCGAGATATGTTTTTTTTTTCAAAGCTGAACTTGCATTAATTTTGCATGGCTTTCTAAACATGCGGCTCTCTTGTGTGAGACACGAGTGCGACGGTGATAGATGTCCCTCTAGAAAATGCGATAAATATGCGGTTCTGTGTGAACGGCTTGGTTTCAGTCTTGACGTAAACAACATCTTCTCCGCATTTATGTTCTCTTTTCCCGCATTATTTGTAATTAACAACGCAGCAGCGCTGCATCTAGTGGCTTCAACTGGATAGGCTAACAAAAACATTATAATGCAACGACACTTACATCGTCATCGCATCTTGTGCGCCACTGATAAGGCTGCCTCCTTAACGCACACCTAAAATTCGAATGCAACATTTTTGCATTCGAATGTGGATTTTTATTTTAAATTTGACGAATATTCGAAATTCAAATTTTTTTTTTGACAGCCCTACTCTGAATATAATAATATAAAGTAACAAATCAAGAACAACAGAAAAGGTTGTGGAAAAGTCATGGAAATTCACTGGTCAAAAGGTTTGGGAACTTTTTTTCAGCTCTCCACACAGTGGTGGAAATAACACATTTCATTACACCAAATACACAAAATAATGTTCTTTTTAGCAGCATCATATGACCCCTTTAAACAAACACGAAAGTAATTTTTGATGTAAAACATTTTCATGCAAGTATAGCAAGTATAAAGTAACCTAAATGAAACGGAGTAGTTAGAAACAAAATGATATACAAAAAGAAATAGAGGTCAGACATGGTCATCAAGTGTGTTTGTGCTGATGTTTCACCTGTAAACAGCAGTACAGCAGATAATATGGGAATAAAAACAATAATAATCTTGTCGCTGAGTGTTAGAGCAGAAGCAGGTGAGAGTTTAACAGAAGGTTACCTGAACCGCTGATGGCTGGGCCCGAGGGTCGAAGAGACGCAGCTTCTTGTCCTGAGGAAACAAAAACACAGAGGTTAAAATATAACCATATTATAATAGCATGAGAAATATAAGCAGAAAGAAATACATTTTTATTATTAATAATACAGTTAAGGCAACATTAGAGAGGAATGATGGGGTGGGGCGGTTCTAATAGGTTTTCTAATTTTTGTTTGTTTATATTTTTCTAATATTTGCCTATAAAAGAAAAAACTTGTTTCTTCTATTGTTAAAAATATTATAGATATTACAGAATAATTTACTTCCTACCATTAAACTAAATTATAGCATGGTTATGTATTTAAAAACATCTATATCTACTCTCTAGATTTCATCAAGCCACATTTTCTTGCCACAACCCCTATAATGTTGCATTAAACTGGTCCAAAATCTTTAATATAACACTTTAATGATTGTAAAATGATTTATTATGATTTTGTTTTGAAGGGCTTCGATTATTATATGGTAAAAATGGCTTAATGTGGCATTTTTTTTGTATTCGAGTCTGTCAACTCCAGGTTAAAAGATGTAAATATATTACAACACCATAAACACAATACATCCGTAAAAGTAAATAAATAACATTTATTAATAATAATAACAAAAACCATAATAAGGCTGCACTGAGGAATGTTATTTTAAAAAGTCAGTTTTCTAAGTCAAAAACTAAGTAAAAACTTACTTATTAACATTTTAAAAATATTATATATATATATGTGTGTGTGTGTGTGTGTGTGTGTGTGAAATTACTAATTGTATTTATATATGCATATATATTGATTAAAACTGAAAATAATTTAACATTATATCTAATATTTTGAATAATTTTAAATAATATATTGTCATTTTAAATAATCATTAATAGATAATAAATACTTTTCATTCTCAGAAAGAATTGTTTTATTCTCTTTTTGTGTGAAACCTTTACATATAATGAATCAAAGAGATTATTAATAGAGGCAATTATTAGTTCTATCAACATTTACAACAATGACATTATACTGTGGAATATAGTATTCCTCTCCCTGTGCTATTTATACTGTACATTCTAGCAGATTTAGTATTCCATATATTATATTCTTACAAAAGAAAAGAAAAATCTGCATGTACCGAGTGTTTATACTGCATAGTATGAACAGAAGGTTACCTGACCCGCTGATGGCTGGGCCCGAGGGTCGAAGAGACGCAGCTTCTTGTCCTGAGGAAACAAAAACACAGAGGTTAAAATATAACCATATTATAATAGCATGAGAAATATAAGCAGAAAGAAATACATTTTTATTATTAATAATACAGTTAAGGCAACATTAGAGAGGAATGATGGGGTGGGGCGGTTCTAATAGGTTTTCTAATTTTTGTTTGTTTATATTTTTCTAATATTTGCCTATAAAAGAAAAAACTTGTTTCTTCTATTGTTAAAAATATTATAGATATTACAGAATAATTTACTTCCTACCATTAAACTAAATTATAGCATGGTTATGTATTTAAAAACATCTATATCTACTCTCTAGATTTCATCATGCCACATTTTCTTGCCACAACCCCTATAATGTTGCATTAAACAGGTCCAAAATCTTTAATATAACACTTTAATGATTGTAAAATGATTTATTATGATTTTGTTTTGAAGGGCTTCGATTATTATACGGTAAAAATGGCTTAATGTGGCATTTTTTTTGTATTCGAGTCTGTCAACTCCAGGTTAAAAGATGTAAATATATTACAACACCATAAACACAATACATCCGTAAAAGTAAATAAATAACATTTATTAATAATAATAACAAAAACCATAATAAGGCTGCACTGAGGAATGTTATTTTAAAAAGTCAGTTTTCTAAGTCAAAAACTAAGTAAAAACTTACTTATTAACATTTTAAAAATACTGTGAGGTGGATGGATTATCTCGGCAAAGGAGAAGTGCTCACTAACACAGATTTAGACAGATTTGTGAACAATATTTGAGAGAAATAGGCCTTTTGTGTACATAGAAAAAGTCTTAGATCTTCGAGTTCAGCTCATGACAAATGGGGGCAAAAACAAAAGTGTTCAGTGTATATTATGTAAACAAAATTTACATAATATATTTATGTTAATTTTGTTCAGTGTATATTATGTAAACAAAAACTTTTAATCGTTTGACAGCACTAATATATATATAATAATGACTAAAAACTATAACAAAATTACTATATAAATATTAAAAAAATTATACGAGCATATACAAGTATACATATTTTTTTATTTCCTAACAGTAAACTGAATTATATCATGCATCTGCATTTACAAACAAGACTAACAAGACTGCCCTCTAACATCAACACCATGCCACATTTTCCCACACTCGCGATACTGTTACATCAAATCTTATTATAACCCTTTTTTAATGACTGTAATGTGACTCTTTAAGCGTTTGTTTCAGTGTGTTGACTAAGTCTGCTGTGCCTGGATTATTATGAGACGGTAGAAATGGCTTCATGTGGTATTTGTTATGAGTCTGTCAACAGAACTGGCAGCGTAAATCCTGCTGCAGACCGAACTCGTGTCAAAATCAGTTCAGTCACACAGTGGCCATCAGACGACCCCGTCACTCTCAAACACAGCCAATCAGGACAGAGAGCGGGATCAGCGAGAGGAAACGAGCGCTAATGGGAACAGGCTGCGACACAACAGATCCGTAATGAAGAGCAGAGACTGATGCAGAGATTGATGCAAAAACACCGCATCAATACAGATAAGAGCCAGAAAATACACAGACAATGAGTTAAACACTCCATTTCTAATCAGGATTAACAATTATTGTGAACATCTTTAGTATTTCGGTGGCATGCTTTTCTTTTAACACAATAAATATGTGTATTTTTAGTCAACGTTGTGCTTACAATGCTTTTAAATGCCGCCTACATAGGCAGCTCTCTAGTGTGGTTTCAGTGCTGAGAGACAGATATTGGGAATAATGCTTTTTACCCATAATGCACCCATAAGACATCGTCAGTAACCACTGGCAGCTCCTCTCCAGACACAAGGCATCCAAACCAAGACAACAGCATAAACACACACAGCAGCCAATGATGAGAGGTTTTCAAACACTACTGTACTCTTCTTGTGATCTTAGTCAAGGTTAATGTCTCTCAGTCGTTCCTGACCTCTGTTATAACTGGCTAAGGACTTTGCATGTGAAATGAGTAATACTGATTTGAGAGTTTTGTAAAGTGAAAACTAATGGATACTGCCATACTACATTACTATACTACACATACTATACTACTTGCACCATTTCATCAGTATGCAAACTACATGCATGGAATAATCAGATGAGTTACTATATCTCACAAGAAGTGCAGTATACAACAGATCAAACTGCAGAATACTGTATCCCACAATGCATAATAATAATAATAATAGTTTTTTTTTGTTAAAAGTAAAAATGTTTATTTGCAGTTGAGATTATTTCTGATGAGGACTATTATTATTATTATTTGGTTTAAGGTAGAAATTTTTTTTAGAACATTTTTAATAATAATAATAATTTATTATTATTAAAAAATTAAAGTAAAAACAAAACATTTTTTATAAAATTATTATTATTATTATTATTATATTGTCTTGTTATTATTTGGTTCAAAGCAAACAAAAATCACAGGTTTGGTAGTTTTGTAAATAATAATAATAAATAAACTAAAATAAATAATTATGATTATTATAATAATTAAAATAATAAAAAATTAATAATAAATTAACTTTTTTGATTAATTATTATTATTATTATTCATACTACTACTGCTACTTCTACTACTAATAATAATAATAAACTATTATTATTAATGATGACATTCTTTTTAATAATTATGAATTATTATTGTTATTTGTGATATTATTATTATTACATCAACTGTAAATTAACACTCTTAATTTGTCACTCATGAGTCGATCAGATGACCAAAAGTTGATGTTTAACCACAAAACTGCATTTAAAACCTTATTTACGTCATTAAACATGGTAGTATTGAGGTTGTATGATGACAATCAGTGCTGTAGTATTTGAAATGTGCGTCACTGCATGATGCACCCCATCCACATGCCATTTAAAAAAAACAAAAAAAACATATGATTGTGTACTGAGTGTGCACTACACAGTATGCAGTCAGCTACTGTCCCATTCTGAACACAGTCTACACACAGTGGCCTTCATCAAACCCTTATTGTGAAACCAGCAGCGACTAGCAGCTCCCCTCACTTTCTAGAGTCTGTTACTGAAACAATCTGTCACGTCAAGCACTGTGCAGTTATGCTGTTTAGAGGTCGATGCTGCAGACGGGCATGCGTCATGCTCAGGCCACCCACAATGCCCTGCAGTCCCGAGAGAGAGGGGTCAGACTCACCCCTGAGCACTCAGAGCAGACCGCACTGGGCCCAGAGCAGCGGCTGAGATCACAGTCAGAGCCTGATCACACATCAGAGTCTGTGCGGCTTTTATTACACGTCTGCTCACACACCGTCTGACCCCAGACGCCCATCACACAGAGACCCAACGCAATCAAACACACATTCAATCTGTGTGTGTGTGTCGTTTCAGCTCACATCCATTTAAATGAGCTTCACTCCTGCTCAAGTAAACATCACACAATCCTCTTTGCAGCCAACAAACTGTGAACGGCAGCCCTTGTTGCTATAGCACTCTAAAAAAACTTTCAATATTTTAATGAATTAGTAAGATAATATCCCAGCAGTTTGTTTAAATGTTAAACACACGAAAGCACAATCAGTCACAAACCCGCAGTCACAAGCCCATAAATCAACACCTGCTTTAATGCTTTGATCATGTTTTAATCGTAACCGTCCACCGAGCCGCTGTGGATGAAAGCGTCTGCGTTCACGTGGCGAGTGTTTGGTGTTGTAAAATATGCGCGTCCATGCCTCCAAACGAGGCCTGTCACGAGGGGGTCTGGTGCCGCCTCAAACGCTCCTCTCTCTGCAATACTTCAAACGCAACAAAGTCCAGCTGTAGATGCCGCCTAAATCAGGTGTGCTTTCAGCTCTCAGCAAACGTCACACAGGAACTTATGACATTTGCTTTTCAAAATACTAAAACCTGGGATGTTTTGAAACTTTGGCTTCAAACTGTGAATGTGGTCTCAGAAATAAATAAATAAATAAATAAAGAATGAGAAAAAATAAGTAGAAATAAAAAAATAAACAAATAAGTATAAACAAATAAGCAAACAAATAATTACAAAAGAATAATCAAAAAAGAACAAACAACATCATTGTAAATACATTAAATTAAATAAGTAATAAATAAATTGAATAAGCAGACAAATAAATAAACAAAATTATTGTAAATAAATAAATAAACAGCAATTAAACTTGATTTTATTAAGCGTCTATCTGAATTTGATTTGTAAATTAATTAGTCATTAAAAAGGTTTTTATCTCCATCATTTAAATGAGGATCTGGCTACCAGACTGATGTGTTTTTCATATTAGCAAAATGTGGCAATTGTGCTGTATAAATAAATGCAATAATGTGAAACGGGATTAATTATTCTCAAGTGTTACACGTTAACTTTGGCAGTCTTAATTGATCTAAATATCTATCAATCAACTGATACTTTTAAACATATATAAATTAAGTTAAAATATTTGAATACATTTCTATAAAAAATATTACAAATGTATTAAATTATTTATATTACATTAATTTAGAATATTTATAATATTTTTAAAATATTGTATATTTATTCAATTAAGTTTAACTTTAAAAATATGTAAATATAACTTAAAATAATTGAAATTAAAATAACACTTTAATATTAAAATATTAATTAAACTAATTTTTTATTTATATTATGCATTTCAAAATATTTATATTAATTTATTATACTTTTTATAAGATGACTGCAGCAGCAATATTTAAGTGGAAAATTAATCACTAAACTGAGTCAAGTACGTTTCCCTCCAGTTGTTTTATCAAAGCTCTTTCCATAAACTCAATCAAAACTCAGCTCCTGCCAAACACAAACCTTTGTGTCCAAAAATAGAAACTCTTCTGCCGTGCGGTTTAACGTTTCAGATGAGTCACAGACGTGTGTCAAACTGACACGTTTGGCTACAGCAAGTGTTTATCATCCATAATCAATTAACATTAAGCAAACGACTGAAGGGCAGATTTTCAGGGGCCAGATGTAATAAACTTCCTCAAATCAGATGTACTGACAGAATCCGCTCTGCAGAGCTTTAAGAGTTTCCCCCTGTGGACGTGATCATGTGTGTTTCCCTAATAAAGCCAATCTGCGTAACGAGCCGCTTGATGGGAAAACACACGCTCTGGCGACATCTACTGGTGACAATGTGCTGCTGTCTGTGGTGGCAAAACCCTTTCACAAAACTCCTGTAAAGATCATATGCCGAAGTAAATGTGCCTCCTGGCAGTAACTTTGAATATTTTACATCATATATTAACATCAGGAGCACAAGAAGCAAAAAGGTGAACAACAGCTCTGATGTTCACTGCCATTAAATCAGTTAAAGTCTATTGTAATCTGGGTTTATGTGTTGTGAGCAAATGCACTGGTAAAACCATCGGAATCAGTGTTGTTACTGTTAACTGAACTAAAACTATCAAATGTTCTCATTTTGTAAAAAAGCTGCAATAGAGTTGGGGAAAAAACATAAAAACACCAAAAAAGTACAAATGTTGCCTGAACAACTAACTGCAAAAATAAATAAATACATTTCCAAATTACCACAGTGACTAAAAATAAAATAAAAATTAAATAGAAATATTACAAATATTACAAAAAAAGCACATAAAATAGAAGTTCATTTAAAATGATCAATAAACACTAATGATACTGTACAAATAATACTAAAATAACACTGATTTTAACCATAGTTTACTATCTTTATTTATTATATTTGATTCATCTGTTTGACCAAAACTGATGGCCGAAATTAAAATAAATAAATTCCAGGATTATTAGTTATAAATATAAACTGAATTAATAAAACCAAAGTTAAAAAAAAAATATATATATATATATTTTTTTTTTTATAAAATTAACATTAACAGAAAAAAACTACAAAAAAGCTTATTACATTTCTCACTTTCATTTAGTTGAACTTGATGTACTTCAACAACTAAAACTGAAATAAAAACATTAAAAACTAGATGTATTTAAAAATAAATAAATAAACATGTAAAATAAAATTCTAAACAAATAAAAATAATTCAAAATATTCATGAAAACTATAATAGCAACTCAATGACACTAAAATAATACTATAATAATAAATTCTTTCTATTCTAAATATTCACAACCTTATAAAACAGGCCACTTTTCACATAAACAGAAACGTCTCCATTTATAAGTGAATATTGCCGAGTTCACACAGCACGATTTTCAAACTCGTCGGATCGCAGTTGTTTTCACACTGCGTGACTATCTG